ACTTGAACAGTCCACGAAGGAGTGAGCAGGTCCATTCAGCCCAAGCTGGTGCGACTGCGGGTGCTCCTGTTCATTAAGTTGGTCTCCTTCACTTAGCTCGTGGCTTCCTGCTGGGAGTAATTAGTTTTTTCATGTAATAATGATTCCTTGTGTTTAAGTGCGACCTTTCTCTAGGGATCTAAAAGTAGTTCTCAGACATGAGCTCATCTGTTCCAGCACAACTGCCTCATGAGATGGGTGCTCATTATTCCCATTACAGAGATTGGAGAACCGAGGCCCGCACACAAAACGGTTCTCCGTCCACACCCCCTAAGATGACATACTCCCCGTTGGTTTAAGGCCACCTGATTCCTGGATAGCCTGCCCTCCGGAGCTCTGGAGGGAGAATTAGCAGTTATGAACTCTTTCCAGATGGCATTTCCCCCACCATTTCCAAACCTCGTTCATGCCAGACGCTGGTAGAGTGCTCTCAGCCTGACAGCAAGCCTCCTTCCTGCGCCATGACCTGGGGAACCATCACAGCAGCGTTTCCTTCCTCTAGAGCCTTGTCTGACAGTTCTGTGTGTGCCACTGGATCGTCCGGCCTGGTATGCTTGGCATTACCACAACATTCAGGTGTAGTGAGCTAAGTTGTATAAAGGTTCCCCTTTTCGTCCTTTCCCCAGCTGAGTCTGCACAGGCCACCTCTACTTTTTTGGAGTGGGAGGCCCTGCATCTCTTTCTTCTCTGCCTCTCCTACCAACCACACTTGTCACACATATGCTTAGTAGTGACTACCAACAAAATAGGAGACCTTTTATTAAGGACAGTTCATTACACAGATCCAGTACAGTAAAACTAGTTTGGGGGCGGGGTTGTTTTCTATTTTGTTTGTTTGTTTTTTCCTTTGGGAGAAGAGAGCCACTGGTTAATACTCAGGTTCTCACAGCTGGAAACTCAGTCCACATCTTCCACATGGGAGGAGGGAACCCAAATACTTAATATTGGGGCTGAGCGTGTTTAAAACTTAACGCTCAAGCCATCATCTGCTGCCTCCCAGGGTGTTCCTTAGCAGTAAGCTGGAATCCAGAGTGGAGTCAGGACTCGAACCCAAGCAATGCCCTGCACTACATGAATGACACACCACTAGGCCAGATGCTCATGCCTAACACTGCATTTTTACAAAGTGAAAAATGAGGTAAGTCAGTTGCTATTAATAGTGTTTTTAAAGAAAATTCAGTGATCTGGGCCTGGTGCAGTAGCGTAGTGGTTAACGTCCTCACCTTGCATGTGCAGGGATTCCCTTATGGGCACTGGTTCTAATCCCGGCAGCCCCGCTTCCCATCCAGTTCCCTGCTTGTGGCCTGGGAAAGCAGTCGAGGATGGTCCAAAGCCTTGGGAGCTTGCATCCCCATGGGAGACCCAGAAGAGACTCCTAGATTCGGATTGGCTCAGCTTCAGCCGTTGCAGCCACTTGGGGAGTGAACCATCAGATGGAAGATCTTCCTCTCTGTCTCCTCCTCTCTGTATATCCGCCTTTCTAATAAAAATAAATAAATCTTTAAAAAAGAAAAAGAAAATTAAGTGATCTATAAGGTTAATTGGGATTTTGCTGGTTAAACTCTTCTTCAGTGGTTTCTGTGTTGTTCTGTAATGTTGTGGAAACCAGAAATAGAAAATCGGTGTGGAAGCCTGCGGTGTCTGGGTTGTGGCACAAAATGCTTTGGCCGTGAGTGTCAGATTCACCTGCTAAGTGGATCGGGCTCTCACACTTGTGGCTTCCTTGGAACCCTGAGCTGTCTCCCTTTACAAGCTGAAATTAAGATCGATGGGGATAACATCACTCTTTGTTGACTAGGTGTGCAGTGTTTACTCTCACTTTCTGCGACTCGCCGTCTCCATATTGTATATTTTTGTTCAAAGTTGCACAGCATTATCTGTGTTCTAATTCCCAGCCGGCCCCAATGAGAACATGAAGTGTTCCTGGACTTGTTAAGCTGGTGTATTTGCATTTTACCGCCAGGAGGCTGTGCTGTAAACAATGAGGTTGAGCCACCAGCATGAGCCAGGGGAATGAAATTTTATTTTAAAATCTGAAATGCTGTGTAAGCATTTAAGGTATGAATCGGTAATTGTCTGACAACAGCTTCCATTAGATATGGTTTATTTGTAGCCCGTCCTCTTTTCAAGGACCCAGGGGAGTGTTAACACACTGAAGCAGCCTGCATATCATTTACATTTTTTAACCAGCATTAAAGGAAAGTGACCCTAACTTTTGAGAGTGCTAAATGTTGGAATGGATTTTATGTCGCTATCCCAGAAGAAAGTACTCCTGAGTTTTTCATTTAAAAAGAAGGAATCTTCCTACTTTGAGTCAGAATTCAAACAACTTTAAACCAGAGCAATACCTTTAAAAAAAAAATGTTCGCTCTAAGATTGAGAACTCTGTTTTTGCCCTAATGAATTCAGTGATTTTAAAAATCATCCATCTAATTTGAGATTCAAGATCATCAAATTCTGTCTAAATATTTTGTTTTAACTTCTAAGCTCATTATGGTCTCTTTGTGTTAACTTGTATTAAAATCTGTCAGCTATGGCTGGTCTCATAAGCACAGTCAGCGGAGCAGAATAAGTTAATTATTTACTTGTGTCACTAGTGCTCTTCATCTAATGAAATGCACAGCTGTGTTAGATCTGCAGTTGGATGTGTAGCTCCCATTGTCCTGCAAGTCAGCAGAGGGTAGAAGCCGCAGTGATGGAGAGCCCTCAGTTCTTTCTGCTGTTCTGGCTTTCTGTGTCGATTTCATGGATCTTTTATCATTCACTTTCACACAAAACAAACAACACAGGGCTGTCTGCTATGGGAACCATCTTGGCATATAAAAGGGCTTTCAGAGGCTAAAGTAATTTTAAGTTAGCTAAGATTTAATTTTTGGCTCACAGGTGCCCTTAGTTTGGAGGCGAACTCAGCTGTTCCTGGAAGGGAAGGAAGGAAAAAAAATCTGAAGGCTGCCAACATGTATTTTTTAAAAAAATGAAATATCAGACAGGAGCTGATAAGAAAACAACTTGCCAAAGAGGAAGCTGCGCGCTAAATATTAATCAGATTTCTTCTAGCAACTCTGAGAGATTCAGCTTTCAGGGGAATGAGCGCCTTTCATTTTAGCCACACGATTAAGTTGAATTTGCTGCGTTAAAAACGTGGACTACTAACACAGTCTGCTAGTTCCCCTCTCCCAAGGAGGAGGAAGGCGTCCTGCCCACTCACTAGGTCTTTGTACCTCTTGTCCCTCACTTCCACCTTCTCTTGGGGAGCTCAGGGGCAGCTTCCTCCTGAGCAGACGCCGGCGTCCCCCTGTGAACTGCTGCTTCAGGGGTGCCAAGGATTGTCTTGGATTTTGTTTTTAAGAGGCTATAGCTGAGCCCTCCATCTCCCTACCCCAACAGCCCAGGATCCCGGCCTCTCTTCACAAGTGCCATTTTTGATGTATTGTTAAAAAAACTACTGAACAATGTTGGTGTCCATGCACCTAAATTTGCAGTTTGATCTCTTTCAAAGCAAATTTCCCAGCAGCCCTAGCGTTTTGTCCAATAATTTAAGTGTGGGTAAATGGATTTTTTGGAGGGCACACACTCTGCTTGGTTGAAATCCTTCCACATTGTGGCTGGAGTTAAAATCAAGTGAACAGAATGAGTATTGCTCTACTTCACGTAGGACAGAATACCTTCTTTATAATAAAGGATGCCATTGCAGCCAGAAAGTTCCTGGCTCTAAAGTTCAGCTCTACAGGCTGAGTGGCCATGTTGCTGGTCACCAGTGCAAGTCAGAGCATCAGTACTCAGTATTAGATAGGCCTGGCTCTCTTTCCTTCATACTTTACCTTCTGGTGATAACAGATCACTGAGATTTTGTTGTGAAGTAGTTTGGATAAGCCAGAGTGAGAGGAATGAAAACTTTGAGAACAGGCTTTTTTGTTTGTTGGAAACTTTAAGCACAAGGAAAAGGAATTTTGTCATACTCCAGTAGAAAGGCATTTTCCTCTTCATTCAGTGCCATTGTGCACTGTTTTCAAGTTCTGGACTGTGTAGATGTGGTGAACCATATAAGTTCTGTCCTTGTATCTCCTCCCAGGGAAAAGAGAACAGAGAAATCAAGAACTGTTTAGCATCAAAACCCCTTGCTAAGTTACAGTAATATTAAGGAAATAATGAAGTACAGTTAATTTAAGAGAACATCTGTAGTGTTTGCAGAATTAGCAGGATTTGGGTTTTGTTCTGTTTTCATTCTTAGAATTCCATTTCTAAGTCTAGCTTTTCCTCTAAAAATTGTTTGGCATTTAATTTTCTTGTTCAACTTCACAAGTTCAACCAAAGATCACTTTTCTAATGTGCTGTAAGCTATAGGAATTAAAATTCCTGCAGGCAGTTTAGGCTCGGCCAAGGAAGCCCTGGCAAGAATCAGCCAGGCAGCCAGCAGTCTGTGGCCAGAAGGTAAACCTGTTAGCACATCAGCTACACACACGCGAGGATTCTCGTCACAGCTTCTTCCATCTACATTGTAAACACACTCCCTTTTTCCTGTCCATGTTCACTGATCACAGAGCTTGTGTTCCTCGTGTGGACGTAGAACCCAGCAGATCAGAGCCTAGCCAACGGGCAGCAGAATCGCTGGCAGACTTAAAGCCTCAGGGATGTTGACAGGCCCCAAGGCTCGGCAGAGTCCCTGGTCTTCTGTCCCCACAGCCCGGGCAGCAGGGTGGGCAAGCAGTCTAGCAACATCATTGTGTGTCGGGCCAGCTGGACAGTCTGCAGGCTGCGGTGCCTTTTCCGCAAGGAGACTCATTTCTGAACTGTTTTTCTAGCAGGGGTGTTGGAAATTGCTTTTTGTTGCTCATGAAGGCTGTGGGGAAGGTTTGCAAACAGTAGAAATCGCAAGGACAGCAGGGACATCCCAGTTAAGTACTCTAGTCTTCCTTTCTGCCAACTCGCTTGACATGACATGAAATTTTTCTGTCCCCCAGGTGTTTGTGGCTTGATCGTGCCGCAGGAGGACATGCCATTTTGTGATTCAGGCATCTGTCCGGACATCATTATGAACCCGCATGGCTTCCCTTCGCGGATGACGGTCAGTTCCTGTCGGTGTTTCTGGGGGGCGCTGCCTTGAAGGAGGGAAGCAGGCAGGTAGTGTTGTTGGAATGAGTGCAGGTAATGGGCCCCTGAGGCTGAGGTTGGGTTTTAGAGCCCTTGTATCCCCTGCTGACATAACAAGTTCTGAGTTCCTAACCACTCCAGATCATACTCCTTTGCACAGCAAATCTGGGCAATGAACTTAACCTTGTGGTGAATCTAAGTACGAGTCCCTTCCATTGCTTACCTTCTGTACTATGTCACCAGATGAGTGGCCTTGGGTAAGTCACTTCCCTGCACAGAAGTTAAGTTACAGGAGTTACAGAAGCATTGCCTCTTCTGTAAACTGAGGGATTAGCAGTACTTACCTTAAAGGGAATTTGAAAAGCATAAAATCAGTTCACACATGTCAGACTTTTTCAAAGAGTCTGTCGTTCAGCAAGAGTGCTATGAATTTGGGCACTAATGATTTATCACCACTTATCATCAGTAGCATGCATCTCCTTTTAAGGAACTAAGCCAGAAAGTACTAGGCAAACAGGGTGCTCACTGGATTTGCTTACTTCCCGCAGGTGGGAAAGTTGATTGAGCTGCTTGCTGGCAAGGCTGGTGTGCTAGACGGCAAGTTCCACTATGGCACTGCATTTGGAGGGAGCAAAGTGAAGGATGTGTGTGAAGACCTTGTTCGCCATGGCTACAATTACCAGGGCAAGGACTATGTCACATCTGGCATCACAGGGTGAGTGGGCTGTTGAGTCATTTCGAAGGAGGAGAATGGTTTTGTTAGGACAGGAGGTAAGGTACCTGGGAGATTTTCCTTTAAGGTTTAGTGGCAGACCTCAAGATGTCAACCTTAAGGCATCAGCGCTAAGAGCTGTCCTTTAGCCTGTGAGAGTTAGTGCTATACGCTTTCAAGAACTGTGATGCAAGAAAATGCACATCTCCAAAACTGGTAAGTTGAGGAATGCTGTTTGTGGTGGTCAACCCCGCATTGGTTGTACGTACTGCAGAGAGTTTCCCTGAGCTGTTTTACCATCTCTGCATTTCTGGGCAGGGCACCAAGTGCCAGTGAGTGTCCCTTATCCAAAACACTTGGCATCAGAGGTGTGCATAAACATTACCAGTGGAGCAACTCCAAGCCAAAATGCAAAATGCTCCCAAATCTAAAACTCACTGAGTGTCTTGTAAGTACTCATGCTGACCATAGTGTTGCTGTGTATTTGTTGAGTGAAGCAATGCAGACAAATAAGTACAAACACCCCTCGCCAACATGAGAACCAACTGTTAGGTGGACGGACAGGCCATTTGCAAGTGTTGGACTCAAAGGAAGAGTATGTTCCACACCTTATGGGGAAAAGAGCTCGTTAAGTTCAGAAACTGGAGTAGTCCAGCCTTCCTGCAGTGTCCTGCGGGGGCAGTTCATCCTGGCTGAAGTAGGACAGTCAGGGGAGGAGCATGGTCATCTCTCGGCCCGAGGGAGACAGCTCCCTGAAATGATCATAAACTACAAGTTTTTACAGCTGAGTTCAGGTGTGGACATTTGGCCTAGCAATTCCATATCCCACCCCACCCCCAGTTGGGAGGCTACCTCCCACACTGGAGTACCTGGCGTCAGTCATGACTCTGCTGCAGAATTGTATCTCCATGCTAATGTGCAGGCATCCTGAGAAGCAGCAGGTGATAGCTTGGGTAATTGGACCCCTCCTGCCTGAAGGACTTATTCCTGGCTACCATCTTCATCCTGGTCCAGCTTCCACTGTTGTGAATACCTTGGGAATGAACCAATGGATAGGAGGTCGCTCGTTCTGTCTCTCTACCTCTCTCTCTAGCTCTCTACATCTCTCTCCCTCTGCCTTCCAAGTAATAAAAAAATTTATTTTAAGTTAGCATTGCCATTTAAAGCAAATAAACACATGGTTGACTCTGGTTTTAAGGAACAAATTGTCTAAATTGAGACACATTTTTTTTTATTATTGATTACATTGCATTATGTGACACAGTTTTATAGGCACTGGGATTCCCCCTCCTCTCCCCACAGATATGTTATGTGAGCTCCAGCTCTGGGACACCAGGTTTATACCATCCTTCACAGGCTTTAGTCTTCCTGAACGCAAGCCAAAAAATATGGAAGCAGCACAGATGGATCCTGTAGGTGTAACAGTGTGTGTTTGTTTTTTTAATATGGAGTGCTGTCTCCAGGGACAAAGTGTTAGATGCAGTGACTTCAGCTACCACTTGGGGTGCCCACATCACACATCCGTGCCTGGACTGAGTTGGCTGTACTTCCTACTCTGGCTGCTAGTGCACGTCTTAGGAGGCAGCCTGTGATGGCTCAGATATGTGAGTCTCTTCTAGGATCCTGCCTTTAGTCTGGCCATGGCTGTTGACAGACGTTGAGAAAGTGAACCAGCAGATGAAAGCGTTCTCTCTTCTGTCCAATAAGATAAAAGTAAATAAATAAGAAAATTATCTAGCCAGGCTAGGATGATGTTGGTTCATTGGGAATGTGATATTTGAAATTTCAGAGAAAAATTACAGGAAGGAGGCAACTCAACGAAGTTAAACATTGTGTGATGCAGGCTGTTCCACTTCTGATCCAGCTCCCTGCTAATGTGCCTGGGAAGGCAGCAGATAGTGGTTCAAGTGTTTGGATCCCTGCCATCCAAATGGCAATCCTGGATGGAGTTCCCTTGGCCCAGCCCAAGTTGTTGGGGCCATTTGGGGAGTGAACTGACGGATGAAAGATCTCTTTCTCTCTTTCTGTTGCTTTGCCTTTCAGATAAATCTTTCCCAAAAGAAAGAAAAGGGGAAAAAAAAAAGCAAAAAACTAATATTCCATTTCAGGATGGCTTAGTAAAATAGTGGGGAATAGATTTCATTTTAGGAATCATGGTTGCTATTACTAAATTGATCATGTTTCTACTTTTACACCCAAAACATAATACAGATGTTGATCAGAAAGGATGAGAAAACAGAATCAGTTTGGTAGAAACTTCTTGAACATCACTATAATGAAAGATTCGGACAGATTGTGTCATGCCACTGTGGACAGCTGTTGCCTTTGCTGCAGTCCACCTGCTTGCCTCGAGGTCCTCAGCTAGGGTTTTCATGGCAAAGTTTGAAAACCACTTTTTAGCCTGTTTGTTGATTTTGCAGACTGCAAACACCTATGGCTATTTCATTTATAGCTTTGATCCTTTGTGTATTCTTGAGCATAGCTGGAAGGGGAAAGTTCCTATGGCTTTGTTCTGTTGATGATGGAAGGACATTGGGTAACAGTTCCGTAAATTCCATTCATTACCAGAAATGGCATAAGTCTAGTCTGAGCACTTTGTTGTACAGAACACACAGAGAGATTATACAATTACTGTGTGACAAAACAAAGGAAACCGGGGTCTCAAGATTTCTTCCATGTTGTGCCTGCCACTTCTGCAGCCTGTGAGAATCTGGTTGCACAGAAGCCAGAAGAGTGGCCTGGTCACTGCGGCCTTTGTGAATGAAGCTGATGTTGCTGTGAAGTGCACCAAGCCAGCAAGAACTGAATCTTCTTCACTGCTTGTGTGCTATGTGTATTGCTTCATTTGCTCCTCCCACTCTTGACAACCTGCCTTAGCCCAGAATTGGCTTATTTCAAAAGGAGCCAGTGTGGCAGGGAGAGCATGGGCTTTTCAGCCACGCTGAGCTCTCAGCAGCCGGTATCAGCCTCACAGACCTTCTCTGCTTTTCTCTTCATCTTCAGAGCAGGGAAGCCAGGGCTCTCTCCCCAGATTCTCATGTGAATGTAGCACGTGTGGATGCTGCTTCCCCTGTGAGGAGGGAAGTTCTGAGAATGCTTTGGTTGCAGACCAAAGAAAAACGATTTATTCTGTCAACATAGTTGCATATTCAGTTACTTTAAAAAAAATGTTTTCCAAAAGATTTATTGAATCCATGTGTATTAGACACCTGCTGAGCAACAAGTGTGCTCCGGTGACAGGGATAGGTATGGACATGGAGCTATGGGGACCAAAGAGACAGCACAGTCATCAGAGAAGAGGTGTACACTGTAGTCCCCAAAAGGGCAGGGCACCCTGAAGGCTGAGGTTGAGATGTGTGTGATGGGAAGTGGACCCTTCCAGACGAGATGAGCAGAGAAGGGCTCTCTGAGGAGAGATTTGACAAGCACCAGGAGAAGACCCACATGTGTCATAAACTTGAAGACGAGAAGTGTGAAGGTCCTGGGGCTGTGCAGTCTCTTTTGGGGGAGTGATAAAGCAACTGATGTTCCTTGAATGGAATGACCAAGGAGGAAATGAGAAGTGAGTCTGGGGTTAGCAGAAACTAGATTATCTTTGACTTTATGGCCGTGACACAGAATTTTGGCAGTTTAGATGGTAAGTTTGTTGGGGAGTTTGTTGTGATTTACATTTGAGGAGGCATCCTCCTGGCTTGTTACATCAAGAATGGACTGTCAAGGGATGAGTTTGGAAAACAAGAAGGCCAATGAGAGGACTACTTGTGGTAGTGCAAAGGAGCGGGTATGGTGGCCTCGCTGATGTAGAAACCATGAAGCAGGGGTTACCTTATACATACTGTTTCAGCTGCTTATTTCTTTAGGAAACCATTTCTATTTTAATGTAGCTGGAATGTTTTTATTTTTTCAAATCTAACCTTTTTATTTGCTCTATCCTGCATAAGGAAGTAGAGACCAGTCAGGGATGAATTTTAGAAAAGGGTATCGCTTGTTTGCCCAAACATGGTTTTCTAACCCAAACACCAACCTGCCTTCCAGGGAGCCTTTAGAAGCCTACATCTATTTTGGCCCTGTGTATTATCAGAAGCTGAAACACATGGTGCTGGATAAGATGCATGCCCGGGCCCGGGGACCACGCGCCGTCCTTACCCGGTAAGTGAAAAGCATTTACAAGAATCCGTAGTATAGTCAGTCCACCCTGCAACTTTGCGAGAGAACACTAAGCAGTTTCAGCAACGTTTTTATTTTCCATATGTAAAATATGGAATGTTAGGTCCCAAGGGGAAAAAACAATCACATATGTATTATTAACTCAAAAAAGAAGTTACCAATTAAAAACATTTTTCAAGCACAAAAGTAAACCCCCACTGAGGGTCTCATTGGTAGACCCTCAATTCTGCAAACCCCCTACTCAAGGGGTTCCCCTGAGGAACCTCAACTTCAACCCGTGAGGATTCTGAAAACTGCAGTTAAAACTAAGCTTATTTTGATGTGGAAAGTTTTGACATCCGTGCAGTCTTTTAGTAATACACATTTCCAGGAGTTCTTTGAAGTATGTGTATCAGTTCACCTTTGTGCACAGATGCGTGTGTGTGTATATATATATATGAAAACACTCAAACCATGTTTGTACTTTTGAGAAGGCTGTAATTGGAACACAAGGCTCCTATACTTGCATGCTTTTTTCTGTCCAATTAATATTTGATGCTTGTACCTTTTTGTGGGGTATAATCTAATATTTCAACATATACATAATTAGGAACAGATCAATATATTAAATCAGGCTATTAGCATTCCTGCTTCCTTTTCTTTGGTTGCTGCCAGCTTCTACCTCCCGGTTCCTCGTACAAGTGTATACCCGACCATGCGCAGTGGTCACCCCCACTGTGCTGTGAGACGCCAGGACCCTAGTATTCCTGTGTGTCTGTGTTCGGGTACCCATTGTCTAACCGCCCCGTCCCTTTTCCTGTCTCCCTTCCCCTCCTCCAGTAACCGTGAGACCATCCACACGTAACGGAGAATGCTACTTACTTTTCTGAGATGGCTCTGGGAGGTGAGGGCCTCCTGCCCCAGTGGACCTTCGGTTCTAAGCAGCATATGAATTGATGAGTAGGTCACTGTGGGGAAAGGGAATTACAGCTGCTCTCAGTTCTTCCTATCAGAAATTTCTGTCTTCAGGTTCAGCCAACTATGGATCAAAAATTTCCCAGGAAAAAGCTTTTGCCTGTACTAGACGTGTGCAGACTTTATTTTTTCCTGACATTATTCCCTCAAACAATATGGTGTATTCACATCAACTATTTACATTCCACTGTATTATAAATAATCTAGAGATAACTTGGGGCACAACGATATGCTGCATAATGACATTTCAGACAGGCCTCATCTGGGATACCTGTCCTGTGAAATTATAATGGAGCTGAGAATTTCCTATCACCTAGGGACACTAGAGCACAAAACATTACTCATATTAAAAAAATAAATAAATAAGAAGAAACCTGTGCTAACAAGTCTACAGATACAATTATGTAAGACACATAATATTTTATAGGTAGTGAGTGTTATTGATGTATGTATTTTTTAATCATTATTTTAGAGTATATTCCTTCTGCTTACAGAACATCTGGAATAAAACAGAATGCTCTGGTACACCAGCAGCACCCTCCTGCATCTCAGTTACTGTGTCACTTGCTGGCATCCTTTTTGCTTGTGCTTAATGAAATCCCACTTGGTTTGCTTTGCATGGCTCTAAGAGCCCCAGGCTATGCTGGGTACCGTAGACTATGTTTATATAGCCTAGGCATGCAGTGGACTCTACCATCTACCCTGTGAATGTATACTCTATGGTGTTCACAAAAGAGCACACTTTTATTTCTCAGGACATATCCAGTTGTTACGTGATGTGTGGCTGTATGCAGACAAATGTGGATTGAGCACCTGAGCAGGTTTAAATATTGTCCTTAAGGGAGCCAGGACAACTATGTTGTTTCTTGTATTCTTGGTAATACTTTCTCCAGTTAGAAAAATGTAGTTCAGGGCAGTGGATCTCAGGAGTGATTTTTGCCCTTTCCCCATACTCACCCGCCCTCGGGAACAGTTGACAGCATCTTGGAACAGTTTTACTTGTTATGACTTGGCAGTGGGAAGGGGGAGCTGTTGTCACCCAGTAGACAGAGGCTGGACATGCGACTTAACCCTCCTGCAATGCACAGGACAGTACCAGACTGCAGAGAGAGTTCCCCCACTTGGCAGGACCCTGCTGCCCTACATGCGTGTGGACACGCCTTCTCTCCACTCTTAAGCACCGTCTCTCAGCCTCTCCTGGCTTAAATTTTTCTCAGACGTAACGTGAAGATGACAATACCTGACTCACAGGGTGCTGTCTTGACTGTCAGATCTTTAGATATACAGCCTGCCACTATAGGAGGTGCTGCTCAGTGAGTGGCCACTTCCATCCACACGGTCACCAAGCGCTGCTTGGATGGGGTGGGGAGGAGTAAAGAAATAGACCTTAGACCCTGTGGGTCCTAGCAGCCAAGTGCAGGCGTGGAAGACTCAATGCCTTGGCCACTTAACAGCTGAGCCAGATGTGTGTCTGTTTCACTTATAGAAGAGGGATTCCCATCAAGATGGTAGCTTCCTCAGCAAGAAGCCCCTCCATGGGCTGGGGGTATTGCCCCGAGTACAGTCCTCTCCTGAGCCGCCATTTCAGTAATAGCCCCAGCACTGTTTCGGAGTAAGACAAACACCACAGCACAATACCTCTCCTATTTATTGCTTTGTTATGTAAGAGAAGTTAGGTTTTTTAATTTTAACTTTCATTTCTTCATTATAAAAACTACTTAGGTTGATTTGTGTGTATTCTGCTTAATCCATTTAAATCCAAGGATTTTTTTTAAAAGATTTTTTTTTTATTGGAAAGTCAGATTTACAGAGAGGAAAGACAGAAAGATCTTCCATGTGATGGTTCAATCCCCACATAGCCACAATGGCCGGAGCTGAGCCAATCCAAAGCCAGGAGCCAGGAGCCTCTCCCGGGTCTCCCACCCGGGTGCAGGGTCCCAAAACTTTGGGCCGTCCTCAACTGCTCTCCCGGGCCACAGGCAGGGAGCTGGAAGGGAAGCGGGGCTGCTGGGATTAGAACCGGCGCCCATATGGGATTCTGGGCGTGCAAGGCGAGGACTTTAAGCACTTGCGCCACCGCGCCGGGCCCTGTGATGTGTTATAATGTAGACCTGATTCTGACTTTGCCATGTGCAGTTTTTTTTCCAATGAATAATTTGGTTAATTCATTTTTCCATTGTAATTTTCAATCCCATGGGAAAAACTATTTAAATTTCTACACACAGTGGAATGCACTGTGTTCACCTTAATTATTTGGGAGGCTAGTGACAACAACAAAGATTAAAAGAAATACGATGCAGTGTGCATCTCTACTTCAAGATCAAGGAAGGACTCCTACTGAAACTGTGAAGTATATCTTGACAGTATGATACTGGACACTCTGCCATTGTCCATGCCCACAATGTCAGGATACACTTAAACAATAGAATGATGGACTTAATGACTGTTTATGAAGGACTGTACTATGATAATGAAAGATTCTATGGGAAAAAAGCCAAGCTGAGGTTTACAGTCCACCCTGCTCCAGGAAGCCCTCTGAGGACTCAGTCCACAGTAAGCCAGCCAAGGAGCCTGCTCTCACTTTGTTTTCCTGTCCTGGTACAGTTTGTGTAATCAGTACTGAAGTGAGGTTATCTTCAGAATCCCTTAATTTCACCTCCATCACTGACTTGTGGATATCTAAGCTTTTAAGATGTGGTCAGTCCCATCAGATGCTTAAGACATAGAGTTCATTCAAAGGATAGGTCTTTGTTGTCATAGCGATGAAAGCTACTACATGCAACACCAGCATCCCATATAGTCAGTGATTTGTGTCCTGGCCACTCCTCTTCCAGTCCAGCTCCCTGCTAATGGCCTGGGAGAAGCAGTAAAAGATGGGAGATCTGGAAGAAGCTTCTGGCTCCTTTCTTCGGCCTGTCTCAGCTCCAGCTGTCACAGACATCTGAGGAGTGGATGCCAGATCTCTTTTTCTGTGTCTCTGCGTGTGTCTGTAACTGTAACTTTCAGATAAATAAACCCTTTCTTTAAAAGGAGAGTGGAGGGAGAAGCCCTGGCCTGGCCTCCTTTGGGACCCTTTCTTCAGCCATCGTCTGTTCTGCTGAGTTTTCTACTTGAAGTAACAGAATACCAAGATAGCTCTGGGAACACCAGACATTTTCCCTGGTGTGAAGGCTTTCCTGTGTTCAGTGCTGAGTGCCTGCACTGGTGCTGTGTGGCTATAGATTCATGTAGTATGTCTGTTCTTTTCTGAGTCTTTAGGATGGGTGATTTTATGCACCTTCACCAATGTGACTAAGCAGCAGCACTCGAGATCACTGTCTGGTAAATGATTTGGGTCCAGGTGGCCCAGAAGCCTAGTGGCACTAGTCAGCCTGTGGCATTGCCTCTTTGTATAATATTAAAATAGCATGTTTGTCTATTTCTTCCAAAGGCAGCCTACAGAAGGTCGATCCCGTGATGGTGGCTTGCGTCTTGGAGAGATGGAACGTGACTGTTTAATTGGTTATGGAGCCAGTATGCTTTTGCTTGAGAGACTAATGATTTCAAGTGATGCCTTTGAGGTTGATGTCTGTGGTCAGTGTGGACTTCTGGGGTATTCCGGCTGGTAAGTGGATTCTGTGTGTGTCTCACATCACAGCACACTCATTGCCTCTTAAATCCTAGCTCCAGTATTGACCCTGGATGATACACTTTGTCCAGGTTCAGCCTGTGATCACCAACATACTCTTCCCCATGCAGTGCTATAATCGGGAATTCTGTCAAGGTTTTGTCTAAGTAACAGTCTGCTTTCTCACTGCTAGAATTTAAGCTCCCATGGTGTATCAACTTCCTCTCTTTTTCTTTTCTTATTGTCTTTTTTAATGTTATCTCAAATATCTTTCATATATTATTTACCCACAGAAGTCCTAACTGATACATTGAGTAAAATGTCCTTATTTGTAACCTCAAACCTGATGAACCAGGTAGGTTACCCCAAATGGATAACAAAGCAAGAGGACCAAGGTCTGGTGCCCTGAGCGCTTGTTTCCTTTGCCATGGCCAGGTGCGTCACACCTGCTCTGTCAATTCCAGGAAGACAGAACTAATGTCTGCCTTAGTCCTTCAGCAGGTGTTTCACAAGCACCTGGCTGCCAAGTGCCACTGCTGTTGTGGGTCCAATAGTGACCATGACAGGGGAATGGCTGCTCACAGGGAGCTCGTCTTCTCCATTCAAGTGATTACTTTCTGTCTGTTGACCCCTGCTTCTCCAGACTGGGACCTGGTCAGTGGTTTGTTAAAAAAAAAAAGGCAATGATTAAATGATACCCTGAATTTGTGGGATTTCCAGTAAGTAAATTAAAACCTCTTTCAGACAAACTATCCCAGCCTCTTTCCATCCTTAACTGTTAGTTTTAGGTTGAAGCAAATCAGGAGTTCAAAACGGGGGATTCTTTGAACCGTGCATATATCTTGCTTATTAAGTGATAAAACCTTTTAGCCAATTATTGCACACTTTGGGTGTAGAAGAGTGAAGAGTCGGTGAGTCCTGTGTGTGCAGAAATCTTTCCGTTTACGAGCTAGCAGATGAGGCGGCCTCTGCAGCCCAGCCTTTCCCTCTGGTCATGGAGATGGGCGCCGTTGTTCTGGGACTTGGCCTGGCCCTTTCTTGTAGCAATGAAATGGGGGTTTGTTTCGATTGTAAGATACCTATTCCTCTTTTTAAATGCATATTGAGCTTGATTTTTTTTAGTCTAGGCTGTATGGCAAAAAAAAAAAAAAAGAAAGAAAGAAAGAAAAAAGAGAGAAGAAATAACATAATAGGGAGATGCCTGGAACCTAGTTCTACTAGGCTAAGTCTTCAAACTTGGTATGAGGGTTTTAAGTAATTTACCTTGAAAGGGTAGGACAGAAGAACCATCTCATTGAAAAAAAGGGTCATGAAACTTCAAAAAGAGTTGGCTTTTCTTTTCCTCCTTCCTCTTGCCCTCCTGAGAAAAAAAGCAACAGTAAACCAGACTCGCATCTGCACTTGGCCACCGTCCTCCTCCCCTCAGCTGGACACTCAGGGAGCTGCTGATGTGAGCAGGACATTCTGACACCGGGGATGCAGCCCTTAGCCTTGTCCCGGAGCCTGCTGCATTGCTGTGTCAGTGTGAGATCTGGTGACAGTGTCCAGGGTTCATGCTGGGTGTGTGCAGAGCACTCTGTATCTGAAATCCTTTGAAAGAGAACTAAGTCAGGTTATACAGGCAGTAATTAAACTAGAGCTTAGTATACCTATGCTATGTGATTTTGAGTGGCCTGCTCACACTCTCCTTTCTGGTGGTCCGACAGCCTCCTTGCATGCTGCTTACTGGCCAAGGAGTGTAATGATGCTGTCCTTTCTCCCATCATTACCTGCCGCTGGGGCTGGTGCGGGAGGGAGCAGGGCGTCTGTGGAGGAAGTTGCTCTTTAATGAGGCTGTGTAATTAGAGCAGTTCAGAACCTTGAAACTGGCCTTTTGTCGGTGATTTGCACATTAGTAAGGCATTGCTATGGGGATGTTTACAGCAGGGCTTGTTCCACTGGAGGCATGAAGGGCACAAGTCACAAAAGAGAGGTTCAGAAAGAAAACAGCAGAAAAGAGAAAAATCCCTATTAAGATAATTAGCTTGCAGCAGATATTTCTCTGGACAATCATTTCCCATATGAAGCCATAGCCTCAGCTTTTTGCTGCCTTTGTTCTGAAAAAGGAAAGATCAGTTTATTTCCTTGTTCACATCAAGTTTCTGCCTTTGGAAGTTGTTCAGACACAGGGTAAGGTAATTGTGCACAAATACACACTCATTGGAATATCTTAAGTAGTAGAAAATATTTAATGCTAAAGAAGATTAGTGGGCTGTCTGGGTATGAATCGGTTCATATGGAAATCTTAAATTGATTAGCTTGAAGTCAGGGAAATATGTGAGACAAGGAGAATCAGCAAGAACTTAGCCCAGTTAAATCCATTTCCCCAATTTAAAGCTTAAATGTGATTCCTGAGTGAATGAATGAATGAATGAAACCCCTGGCTCATTAAAGTTTTATATCACTGGTTGCTAAAATGATCCCTGCTCAGGGAGGGCAAAACATTCCAAAATTCCAAAAATTATAGCATTTTAGTGACTTCAGACAACTCTAACTAATGTCAATTAGTTATTTAATTTTTGTTATTTGATCACAAATCCTGTTTTTTTAAGATTTATTTTCTTTTTAATTTGAAAGGCAAATTTACAGAGAGAAGGAAAAACAGAAATATCTTCCATCCTCTGTTTCAATCCCCTAATGAGGTTCCAAGGACTTGGGGCACCTTCTGCTGTTTTCCCAGTCCACAAGTGGGGAGTTGGATGTGAAATGGAGCAGCTGTGATATGAAGGAGTGTCTATATGAGATACTGGTGCTTGAAGGTAGAGAATTGGCTTATTGAACCACAGCGCCGGGGGAAAAAAAAGGGAACCACAGCGCCGGCCCCCACAAATTCAAAACCCTGATAATAGAAAATATGAGTGTACACACACACACAAAGTGTTTAGCACTTCCCCTATTATTACTGAACCCTGCCTGAAGCCCCTGTTATGCTCCTGTTTAGCAAACTGCTCTTCACTTTGCAGTGTCCTACACACCTTACAGTGCACATTATCACTTGGGGTGGCTACACAGGGTCCTTCTGATTGAAAGTCCTTTAACCACAGAACCTTTGGTCATATATGTGGTTTGACTTATGGCATTACAAATAGCAGACTGTGACTGAGAACTATGCTGTATGTTCATCTTGGGCACTTCTGTGCTCACCTGACCCAAGAATCTGCACATTTGTATCTCCTGCATGTAGGCCTTACTTCTCCCCACCACCCTGGAAGAACTAGTCTGTGTCCACTAAGGACTCTCCTCCAGGGTTCATTAGCATGGGCACCTTGTAAAGCTTCTGCTGCAATTGCAGTTTTACCCCCCAACCCCTGATATCTGGAAGACCTAGTTTCCTACCTATTAAACCTCACCGTGTGTGCTTGGATGCCTAGTGTTTGAGATCCTAATTTGGCCTGGAACTTGGAAGAAAAACCCACTTTCTCCCATTACCCCTTGTTTGGTTTAGTTATCAAGACCTAAGTTCAGTGCATCTGCTGATCTGAAAGAAAAGAGAAAAAAAATCCTAATTGGAATGGCAGGCATGTTGGTTAAGACAGGGCATATTGTAAAAATTAAGCAGGAATATCTGCACATCCATATTCTAATTTTACGTAAGGCCTTGCACATTGTCTGTACAGTAGCTCCCAATACTGATAGAAATAACTAGGCTTGAAGAACTCTGGGAAAATGAACATTTGACTAGACATCACCCTGTTGTGTCTTGTCTTTTTCCATTTGACATGGACTATCTCAGGAACCAAAATGTCACATCGTGCCTCAAATAGTATGCTAGTGTTATGGATGCTTCTCAAATATATGGAGACCAAAAAATCTGCAATTTTTTTAGAAAAAAAAATCTGAATCTGAGTAAATTTCCAGTGCAGATTTCTAGGACTCTTTCTAAATTAGCATGTAGGCAGATGTTTTCCACTTGATGGAGAAAAGTCTAGAAATGTGGTAGTAACGGACTTAAGTTGTATACTTTTAAAACCGAAGGGAGTCATGTTCATTTTTATTCTAACTTTGCTTCTATGCATGTCTCTCCATATTTTGGGGTATATGTGTACATATTTAATGTTGTAACTGGACACTTGTGAATAAAAGAATGACTAATTTGATTGAATTGTGTAGAGAATACTCTCATTTCCTCCATGGAGGCCTTCGTTTCATCATTGCTGTCCATCTAACACATACTGGCTTGGGTTTCAGGTGCCATTACTGCAAGTCATCATGCCACGTGTCTTCCCTCCGCATCCCGTATGCCTGTAAGCTGCTCTTCCAGGAGCTGCAGTCTATGAACATTATCCCCAGGTTAAAGCTGTCCAAATACAATGACTAAGGATGGAAAAGATGAGTGCCGAAGACGCCGATAAACATCCGAGGCAGTGAAAAGCAGGAAGAATTGAGGTGTATTTTTGCTCCTGTGAATCAATCCTTTGAGTGTTGGCTTGCAGAAACTACCAAGAAAAACCAATGGTGAGAGTTTTTTTTAACACCAGAAAATGAACGACACAATCTTCATCAATGAATACCAAGCCATGGGAGCATTGCTGACCCAGGGACTGAAACCAGCAAGACTAACAAGGAGACATGACATACGGGATAAATAAACTGTTATTTATGTACTAGAATCGTGTGATTGCCTCATAAATAAGATTGACTCCTGAAGACCACTGGGGTTTAAATTTCAAATCAGCTCAGCTCCAGCCTTTGCAGCCATCTGGGGAGTGAACCAATAGATGGAAGATCTTTCTCTCTGCCTCTACTCCTCTCTGTAAAATTCATCTTCCTTTCCAATAAAAACGATAAATAAATCTTTAAAAAAAAAAAGAAATGAAAAGGCTCAAGCTTCTTAGGAAATTAGAAGATGTGAAGGATTCTTATGCAGTCATTAGCTCGGCTTCTGTTGAGGTGGCCACTTCTGAGCAGAGGGAAAAGGACTGTGTGCTGCCAGCTCAGCCATCAGCAATGGCTTTCCCACCCAGTACTGTGAGGCAGTGGGTGTTCCCCACAACTGAGTATCACCCGTACACACCCAAACCTTGTCATTTTAAAGATTTATTTTATGTTTATTGGAAAGACACAAGCAGGGACACAGGAAGGGAAGTGGGGCAGCCAGGAGACAAACCGGAACCTGTATAGGATCCCAGCCCTTGCAAGGCGAGGATCACACCGGGCCCAAATCTTGTCATTTTAGTCCTGGTGAAATGCAGTAGGTATAGTGCTGCCTTAGTAAGCAAAATACTTGATGGACAGTTTTGAACCTCTGTGATGATAACCTACAGTAATGTGATAAGTATCTGAATGTCACTTCTTGGATTCTTTGTCACTTTCTATTTAGAAAGTCAGTGAAGCTCTTACAACCATGTCACTGACATGTCACATGGAAAATGTTCTCAGAATATTGATAGCCATTTTTCTTTTTGTCTTTCTTCTATAAAATCTGCCTTACCATGAAAAAAAGAAAGAAAAATTAACCTCATTTTATTTTCTTCCTAATAGACATCTCTAGTACCAGTCATGGTGGGCAGGTCTTGCTCAACCATCACTTCAGAAACCCAACAGGTGTTATAAAGGCAGAGGCATTTTGTGTGTGTGAATTATTGGCTATGCCAGTTATTCCTTCCTTTTGACTCATTCTGTCATTCTCCAAATCAGTAAAGCATCAAAGATTGCTGAATCCAACATACAGTCTTCCTGTCTTGGGGGCTGTTAATGTTATCTGTGATGATCTTGACTGGTGATCTTGACTGGCTGTGTTGTGCCATTCCCACCTGCCAGCTCATTCAGACATGAGCTTATCCTCCAGGCATGGCACCTGTTTCACTCAGGTGTTTGGAAAGCATTTGGAGTGTGTCTGGTGCTGGCCTGAAGCCTCCAATCCATCAGTCACACCTGCGGAAGGCACAGTACTGAGGATATATAGGACATGGCCTTATTTGGTCCAGTGGGAGAGGCTGAGAAGCATCAGCCAGCCTTATGGCCGCATCCTTCCCTCAGTGAGGGAGTGCCCAGGGCATTTGGATGAACTGTGTCCTGGGAGTTTGAAAACTTCCCTGACATGGTTCTCTACACAGCTGAGGAAACTATGGCAAAGGCTTCCAGACCAGGCCTCCTCACATAGAGGGCTTTGTTCATATTTTCTCCAGGATTACAACTTTCAGTTACCAAATATGACCATTTTTTATAACTTGAGAAAAGTCATTGGTTGTGTTTCTTGTGCATATTTTTCAGACAACCATTCCAGGCTACTCTGGTCAACTCTCTAACCTTCTAGGAGACTCTTAAGTTTAGGAGCTGTAGGAACTGTCTGTCAGGTTGGTAATGCAGAAACCACCTGAGAGACAGGCATTTGGCACAGCAGTAAATGTGCCCACTTGGGATGTCCATATCCCATATTTGAGTGTCTAGTTCAAGTTTCACCTCCCCTTCCCATTGTAGCTTCCTACTATTGCATATAATCAGAGACAGCAAGTCATGGCCCAGGATCTTGGGTCTCTGACACATGGGACCCATTAAGTGTAGGCTCCTGGCCTAGCCCTTTGGAGAGTGAACCAGTAGATTAAAAAAAAAAAATTCTTTCTCAATTTTATAAACAAGTAACAGATAATATGTATGTATAACTTAAGAAAAATAACACACAGTTTTACTACTTGAGAGCAGAAAGGACAGATCAACCTCCCATGCCCTAATTTGCTTTCCAATTATTCACCATGGCCTGGATTAGGCTAGACCAAAGCCAGGAATAGAGAACTCCATCCACTACTCCCACATGTGTGGCAAAGGCCCAACTACTTGAGCCTTCACCTGCTGCCTCCCAAGATGTGTGTTCTCGGGAAGCTGGAATCAGGAGCCAGAGTTGAGACTTGGAACCCGACATTCCAGTATGTGATGGGCGGATGTCCTCACCAGCTTTGTAACCACTAGGCTGAAACCAAGTAATAGCTGCTTGACTCTGAGAAACTTTAATAAAAAGCAGCCAGAACTGGTGGGTTAGTCCTACTACAGTTTTGCTTTCAAATGTTATTTTTAAGTTGCTGGTGTTTAAAAAAAAACTACTATTTCCAAAATAACAGAGTACTTTTCAAAGGCCACTCTCAAAGCGCTTTTCTCATGCTTCTGCCAGGTTGCAGTTGGCACAAGGGTGAAGCTCAAACACCAGGCCAAAGCCCGAGGAGGCTATGACCTTCGCATGAATTTTGGCTAAAGCAAGAGCTGGGGAGAGAAAACTGGGCCTAGAGTTGCCAAGACACCAGGACTAGAAATGCCCAACAGAAAGGACAGCCATACAGGGTGAACACAGTCTCTCCACCACATGTCCCCTTGATGTGTCCACCCAGGCCACTGTCACGGAACACCCTGCCCAGGGGCTGCAGCAACAGAGATGGCACTTCTCCCAATTCTGGAGGCTCAAGTCCAAGACAGGAGTCAGTCCACAGGGTTGCTGGCTGATGAAGGCGCTCTTCCCAGCTGCTGACAGCTGCCTGCTTTCTCACTGTCCTCATGTGACCTCTGCGTGGTGCACACTTGAACAGAGAATAAGCTGCGATGAGGACACTAGCCCTATTGGATTAGGATCCCACTCTACCTCCTCCTGTATTCTTAATTCTCCAGATACAGTCAAGCCAGGACTTAAGGCTTCAACAGGAGTTTTCACTCCATTGTACTCCTTAAGGCCTTGGCCGATTCTGAACAGTGCAGACTGAACTGTGGGCAGTAGCCATTATCAAGGCTGCACTCCCAGGCTTCAGTCCCACAGAAACGTGTATCTATGTGTCACCGTTTGATGCATACAGAGATGTTTGTGGCAGTATTATTTGTAACAGCCTCAAGTTGTAAATAATCCCTGCTGGCTAGCAGTAGAAAAAATCATGGAACACAATGGATTGCAATACCATAGAAAGTTGCCAAAATTGGAGGGGAAAAAGTAAAGCCTTAACTTTATTAGCAGTTCTGCCTAAGTTCTAAACTGGCAAAACTAATTTATGATAAAAAGAAATGGTGATAATGATTGTCCATATCAAGTGAGTGGCGAATCACTGAGAGGAAGGGATACTGCTAGCGGTGCTTTTCTACCTGAGTGTTGATTACGTGAGTGGGTCCATTTTATGAAAATTCGCTAAGTGTATACAATAAATTAAAAAAAAATAGCAGGGAATGAGTGGCTTAGAGTGCAGGTTCTGAACCTATGTTCATGTTTTTGTAAAATCTGTGACCCTAAAATTAGACATTGTGTTCTTTCTTTTTAACATTTAGATGAGAGAGGGGGAGGGACAGAGAAGTCTTGCATCTGTTCTTTCACTTACTCCCCAGGTGGCCTCAACAGCCAGGGGTAAGCCAGGCTGAAACCGGGAATCAGAAGCTTCCTCTGTCGTGTGTGTGTGTGTGTGTGTGTGTGTGTGTGTGTGTGTGTGTGTGTGTGTGTAAGGGGCCCAAGCACGTGGACCATCTTCCACTGCTTTTCCCGAGGCATTAGCAGAGAGCTGTGTCCAAAGTGGAGCAGCTGGGAAATGAGCCAGCTTTCATGTGGCATCACAGACCGTGTGTCTTTTCCCTCTCTGCCCAACACCGGCCCATTGTATTGGCCCTTTTAGTTTTTCTCTCTTCAACTTGAGGATAAAAGTGCTGACATATAAAGCACCTAAGGCTATTTTTAAGATTCAGTATGATTAAGTGTCTCAAGGAATCACCTCAATGCCTTGGTGGAGCAGGGTTTGGTTATTTCCCTGTGTTTGCTATGCATCTCACTGATAATAATCAGCAGCCATCCACACACAACTTCCTAACAGTATTGCCAGGAAGGCTACAAATAAGAAATTCCCAGCTTCATTGGAAAGAAGTTGGAGCTGGGACCAAGCACAGAAACTGTGGGGTTTTGCAGAAGCTCCTTGGGAAGCCAGCCTACTTAACGGTGATGGGAGGAAGGAAGGTGGCGGGGTTAGCGAGCACACTTCCCTTGAACAGCATCGGCCACTAACATCAAAGCGAAGGCTGTTGTTGGAGTAGGAGTCAGGGAATCGTTTCCTGAAGCCCCAAGAATCAGGCCCCAAAACACTTCCATGTGGTGCGAATCAAGAAAGGGTCCTTGATTGGGTGCTACCTAATGGGATAGTTTTCAGATGCTTCAGAGCATTTTTGGTCAACACCTTCGAGTAATGAGTCACATGAGAGTCAGTGCATTAGGGCTGGTGGCTGGACCCATCCGTTTTGCTTCTCTGAGCAACAGAGAAGCCAGGCTCTGAGAGGCCTGTGAATAATTCACTGTGAACTGGATGGTCAGAAAAGTGACTATAAAAGTAGCACCTCTTTTCCATCCATATTCACTCCATATGTGTCTTGAAAATCATGTATTTCATTTGTTGAGCAAAAGTTGGATTTTTACTGCATTTGTCCACAGGGTCAATGTTGGTAAGAAATCAAAATCAAGCTTTAAAGAGGCATTTCAAAATGAGAACGAGGAAAGAGACAAGAGCAGAAAAAGTGATAGTAGTCTACTTTTCGTTATCAGTTTGGCACTCAAACACAGGCTCCCAAAGTGACAAAGAGATTTGTTTTGGCAGATCCAACTTGTGATCAAGACGTCAGCGGTAGAAAAACTCTGAAACACCTTTTGGCTTATGAGTCTAATATTACACCATGGCCAAAGGAGTTAAAAGTGCTTTCCAAGTGCAAGTAAGTTACGCTCATCTCATGCATAGTAAATCTTAAGTCTGGTTAATTCCCAATCATCCACATTCATGGACCTAAGAAGTGTTTGAGTAAATTGAAACAGGTGACAGAGCAAGGCTCTTTTACAAAGAGAAAAAAAAATTTTTTTTTTTTTTTTTTGTTGAAAGGCAGAGTTAACACACAGAGGAGAGACCAAGGTCTTCCATCCGCGGGTTCACTTCTCAGTTAGCTGCGAAGGCTGGACACTGGGGCAGTTTAGAGCTAGGAGTGTGTTCCGGGTCTCCCACGTGGATACAGAGGCCTACGTACTGGGGCTTCCTCCACTGCTTTTGCAGGCTGTTAACAGGCAGCTGGTTTGGAAGTGGAACAGCTGGGCCTCAAATTGGTGCCACTGGTGAAGGCTTAACATGCTATACACTGTATCAACCCCCAGAGCCAGACTGTTTAGTATCAGATGCTGGAATAAAGTTTGAGTTCTTATTTTTCATTTGACTTGATTGGTGGTTTGGTGAATTTGCTGTACTTCAGCCAGTGACTCCAGTGGACATTGTATTTGAAGGAACTCTTGGCTGAGTAATGATGGCAGATCTCTGCCAGAGCCGGGGAACTATTCAGCTGCGATTTTTCTCAGCCATGGTTCTCAGCCATTAGGGTTCGCGGACCAGCAGCATCACCTGGAAACTTCTCAGAAATGCCAAGTTTAGACCTCTCTCCAGATTTAGTCAGAAACTACAGGGATGGCCCAGGAAGCCGTGGCTTAATCAACCTTCCCAGCTGGCTTCCAAAGCAACCTAAAATGTTAGAAGAGCTTTAAATCCCACCCTCTTTTAGAATCAGCCTTTGGATGTGCAGGCGTGCCAAAGCACCCTCCCTTGATAACTGGCTCCCCACTTTTCTCCCTCCCTTGCTAGGTATGACTTCTCATCATGTAGTAGATTGTACTGGTTCATCCATCTCACGAGGCATCAGCCCCATGTTCTGGCACCCCTGGCCACATTGGCTGAGAGCACTTTCCCAGCCAGCCTAAGCCCCATCACTCTGGAAGAGACTCTGCAAAGCCAGACCTGGGTGAGAATAGCTCGCCCCCGGCAGCCTGGGATGCGGCTTCTCCCTTGTGCTTCCTGCTGCCTGACTCTGGCCCCTGAGATTTCTGCTGTCCCCTCTCTAGCTTTCTTGACATGCTGGCTGCACCTGCCTGCTATTCCAAACCATGCTATCTTGCATCAGAAGTGGTCTTTCTGAATGGCTGTTTGGAAAGTCCCAATTCCCGTCTTCGTGCCAGCTGTGCATTGCAGTTTGCTGCCTTCATCCTCGTGAGCTTATGACAGCATTGCTTCT